TTTAAACTTCCTCCCAACTTCATTTTTGACTTCTTTTCTTTTGGTTTCCCACCAGTTATTTATGATAAGCATATATTATTTTTTTATTCTTCTTTTTCGATTTCCTCGGGCGTTTTTTTCTCAATAATTATGTCAGCAACTTTAAACGAAACTAGTGTATCATTTATTTCTTTTCTTCAATTACCCCTTATTCTTTTTATTTTTTCTTGTTCGGCAAAATAAAATAATTTTTCTAGGAAAGCCGAATATTCGCTATAAATTTCCTTTCCAAAAAAATCTTTCTTGGTATTTTTTTTAGTCCTTGGGTAATATTCAGTAGTTAGTCCAACAGGGTAATGTGGATAAGAGGACAAACTTTTTAGGTTTTCGGCTCCTATATTGATAATATCAAAATAATCTCCTCGGCGAAAAGTGAAAGAAGTAAACCAATATTTTTCCATAAAACTCCGAATGGCCTCGGGAGTAATCTCCGTTTTTTCCACTAATTCTTTTCACCAACATTCGAGACAAAGCCTATTTTCTTTTTCGCTAATCATTTCGCGACTACAATTATTACAATTTCATTTCATTTTCTATTTTAAATATTTTTAATCGGTTAGTTAATTATTCTGCCAATTTAAGACTGTTTTTTTTTTTTTTTTGCAAAATTAGCAAAACGGCAAGCAAAATAATGATTGCTCCTATTACTGCAAGACCAACATAAAGCAATAAATTAGAATTTCCACTTTTATCAGGTTGATTATTGGAAGGAGAATTATTGTTTTTGTTTAATCCCTCCAACTCACTTTCTTTTTCCTTCAATTTATTCTCTTTTTCTTGTAAAGTATTAGGGTTGGGAGGAGAAGGATTGCGAGGATTTTTTAAGTCACGGATTTCTTGTCTTAAACCGTTGATTTCTTGCTGTAATTGAGTAATTTTCGCCGAATTATCGTTGTTTTGATTTGAGTTTGGTTGCGGAGAGTTGCCCCCATTTTGATTACCGGGTCCAGTTGGCTGATTATTTTTCTTCCAACTATCGCCAATTTCTTCTTCTAACTTCTCTATTGCCTTTTCGCCTATTTCATGTCATTTATCTTCCCCAACCGCTTGACTGATTTTTTTGCCAATCGTTTGCATTTTTTTCTGAGACTCTTTTATTCTCCGCATTAAACTTTTGAGTTCGGGGTGTTTCTCGGCAAAGTCTTCCGTTCTTTTATCTAATTCGGGACAGCAAACCGAACAAAATTTAAATCAATTATTATTATCTTGCTTGCCGCCTTTTTCCGCCAAAAAGTCCAAGACACATTTTTCCATTTCTTCAATTAATTTATTCTCCGCCGCACTTAACTTAAAACTAGGTAAAATTTGGTCGATTTCGGCTTGAAATTGGCTCGGTGCCACCTCTCGCATTTTTGCTAAGATTTGATAAAGCATTTTATTCAGAAAAAAAGATTCACGATGGACTAATGTCTGATTTTTCTGGGGTTCTGGTTGCCGACAAGCCGAACAAATATTTTGTTCTTTCCTCTTGCCACAATTTTGACAACGGTTTTTCCCTTTTTCAGCGGGATTATTGCAATCAAAAAATCCACATTTTATTGTCATATTAATTAATTATATAAGTTTTTTTAGTCAATCAATATGCTATTACCTTTTTTATCCTTAAATTTTCGGGCGACCCGCACTTTTATTTTTTCGACTTGCTCACCTTTTTTCTTTTCTATTTCTTGAAAACCAATTTTAGTGGTTTTCTTTTTATCCTCCAATCAATAGGCCACATTCGAAATATTAATCGGAGTCATAATTTCTTTTAACTCACTTTTTTTCTTACTGTCCGGAGTAGATTTATCGTATTTTTTGCGACTAACTTTTTT